CATTAGCACCTCTAGTAATATATTTACTGAGAAAGATGTTGACGTGTTCAATACTTATTTTACCCGCTGTATGAACTTTTGAAGTCCCTCCGATTTAAGATGACCGCCACAGCTAATTAAGAAACAGGAAAAATGGCAGTACATCAGAAAATTTTGAGCTAAAATTTGGTGTAGAAGTCACTGAGAGTCATTCACAACAACACATACTCTGAGAATTAACAGATCTCATAARATCTCACAACATTGTACGAGATTGAACACATCGTTTACAAGGTTTGACCAAAACATATATAACTTCATCCCTCTCATTTTAACACGGTCTATTATTCATTGATATAAACACATGCTGAATGTTTTAACGTGTTAGCTGCTCTCCACGTTTCAGCTTGTAGCATCGCCTTGAGACACCAGAAGGACGACGTTTGTGACGTAAGATGATGGATGAAGTCACCACTTCGCTTTTACTTTTAAACACAGTCTTGTTGCCTGAAAGTCCTCCCAGCTGGCTCTATAATCAAGTTACAACAAAAAACAACTGTATCTAGGACAGCTTTATGACCCAAATTTGGACTAATTACTGCAGTTGTTGCRTCTTTTACTTTGATGGCTGCAGTTTAAACAATTTCATCGCGTTTTCGTATGGATTATGTGATCTAAGAAGGAAACTGAGAACTTGTCGAACTTGTTTGGAGGTTAAACATTCAATTAATATAAGAAATCAAGCTGAATCAAACTGTTTGTGCATATTTAAAGTAAGTTACTGGGAAATTTGAGAATSAAGACTCTAAATCATTTAACCTTATGCATCCCTTATTTCTTAAACTGCATTATCATCTWCAAGCATTTCTGGTTATGTGAAACAAGACTCATCAGATTGATTGATCCTGTTAAAGTCTGTGTTTGTAAATTTGTTCGGGACAATCAGAACTCTTGTTTCCCATCTACACTCGGCGTGTTGGCTAAGGAGCAAATCCCACGGCTGCTCTTCGGAGACGTCCACGTCGGCTGCTGACACGAAGACGTCTCCGTCCGGTAAATCTGYGCCTGGGTCTTGAACAGGCCGAAGCGAGCTGCGAGAAGAAAGAACTCCCGCCGGAAGTTACGGGTGAAGAAGGCGTACAGGAAGGGGTTTGCGCACGAGTTGATGGGGTAGAACACGACCAGGAGGAGTTTGGACTGCGAGACGGTGATGAGAGGCAGCTTCAGGGCGGCAGAGATGGCAAAGAACGAGATGGGAGCCATGCAGAGGAAGTCGGTGAAGATGAGGACGGCCATGCGTCGAGCCACTCTGGTGTCGGCGTGGGCCGGCGCCGACGACGGTTTCCGGTACGTTAGGTAGATACTGAGGTAACAGCCGCACACGCAAACAAAAGCCAGGATGTTGAGAAGGAGCAGCGAAACAACGTACACCTGGGACACCAGGGACTCCACGTCCATGGGCAGGCAAATACTCACCTGCAGAGACACACATTCAAACATCAAAACAATCACAAACTCTAATGCATTGAAATAGACATCTCTTGCTTTTAAATACTCATTTTTTTTAATCATTCAGTTGGGAGCTGTATAAAGTGGAAGTGCAATGCTTTGGTTTGAATTCCTCTTTATTGTAACTCCACAAGCCCCCTGTTTCACTCCTGTTCGGAAGTGTGTCTAGGCTAGCCTGGCTTTATTATGCCTTAGCCCTGATTGTGTTGCAGTGTGCGAAGTGCTGCCTCGATGTGGGCGGGATCATAATATTACACATGTACAAATCTACAAGGAAAAGTACTGAAGACCAGAGTTGTATAGTAGCTAATGTAAGTAAAATAAAACTTTGTTACTGTACTTAAGTAGAATTTTTGGGTATCTGTACATTACTTGAGTAATTATTTTTCAGCCTACTTTTTACTTCTRCTTCTTACATTTTCACACAATTATCTGCACTTTTTACTCCTTACATGAAAAAGGCAAGAAGTAAAAAGTCGTTACTTTTATTTCATTTTTGCTTGTTTTCATTCCAGCTTGTTATTGTAAAAAAAATAAATACTTTCCATTTAAATTGTGCCTCCTAGATAGAGTGAATTTAACTGTGGTTGAATGAGAAGTATACGAAATCTTGTCACACTCCAACAGGACATAATGATAAAATAAAAGGACTGTACTTGAGAAGTATTTGTATTTCATGAATTATATTATTGCATTTGGCCGCAGCCCTCAGACAGATTTTCATTTTGGTCATCCTTGCTATATGTGTATAAACTGAAACAGCTGGACTAGTGCATTCTAAATTTAACATAAATTAATTATTTTAATACATCATAGTCATTTCTGCATTGTTTTGGCGGGAGGTCACCTGAAAAATGTCATTACAGAAAATCAACTGCTCATTTTAAATCAAATACTTTTAGTTTTAATAATTAAATATCAGATAATATAATACTTTTACTCAAGTAATATTCCTAAAGGAGACTTTAACTTTTACCAAAGTAATTTTTTGCTAAGAAACTTGTACTTTTACTCAAGTATCACTTTGTGGTACTTTATACAACACTGCTGAAGACTGTGATGGACCTTCTAGCTGTATGACATGTAGAGGGAAAGATGACAGAGTGATGGTAAGCTAATTGTATCTTGTTTGGTAGTCTGCTACAGTTGTGTTGTTAAACTTGTGTGTAAAAAATGTTAAAGTAGCTGCAAACAATTCACGTAAAGTCATTGTTATTTGTCCGATGTTATTGTTCAAAATACGTCACATAAAATAGAGAAAACTGAATGAATTTAAAAATAGGACCCAAATAGAATATAAAGATATCTATGCTGCACCAGGAGAGACTAAATTAAACTTTTCTGCACTTCTAGAGCAGTGTTTCCCAAAGTTGGGGTCAGGACCCAAAGTGGGGTCCTGAAAATATTTTCTGAATTAAATACATTTTTTTGCCTTAGTTGTTACAAAGGAGTGAGGTTAGTATATTTAAAATGGATAAATGTAGTATAAAAATATTGTTACTATGCCCATGTTTAGTTGACCTGATACAAATGTTTATCATCCAAAAATAGTTGGTGGCACAGGTCTCTGCTGCTGTTATTTTGTGGGTCAAAAACTGAAAAGTTTGGGAACTGGGAAGTTTTTTATGGTTATTAACGGAGTTCGTGTACTCAGACC